GATAAAACAGAGAAATCAATATAAAACACAAACACAGGTATTGCTTGAACAGTATTCACTTAACTGCTACTATTGATACCCACCAGAGAAACCCAAGGGACCTCTCTTAACATCACAACCACTGTAGCTCGTTCTAAGTTGAATGCAAATCAGGACATGCTCTCACCTTCCCCCATCTTCCTTTGTCCTCAAAAACACATGTCAACAGGCCCCAAATGCAGCTCACAGTTTTACCCCAATTATTCCCATTTTAAGCTTATCCATAGTTTGCTAACATGAATAAATACAAATATAACTCTACAAATCCCCCTTTTTATCTCCTTCTCCAGAGATAAACTTAGACAAGGCATTTTGAAATATACCCACTGTCATTATTTTCTACTGTGTCCATAAATCCATCCGAAGCTGGTATTTAGAGTACTTGAAACCTTCATGGAGACAGAACACCACTTTCCATGGCAGTGAAGGAACCATGAGGGGGTAGCTGAGTGCTAGAATCATCAGCCCCCCCCCCCTCCCTCGGAGGAATAGCCCACAAGGACAGCTAATAGGGAGGGGGAGATGCAGCTTTCCCTTCACGGGTAGAACTGAGTAGAACCGAAGTAGACTCCTCTGCTGCGCCGTCCTGGCTTGCCGTGTCTTTGTCCACCCAATCTGCTGACAGCAGCTTCTGGGCTGCCTGCTAGAGAGATGTCTTCCTCCTCCTCGTCCTCCGGCCCGCTGATGGCGGCTTCCGGGTCGTCTGCTGTAAGGATGTCTCCAGGGTCCTGCTCCTCCAGTCTGCTGATGATGCCTCCCGGGTCGTCTGCTGTAAGGATGTCTCCAGGGTCCTGCTCCTCCAGTCTGCTGCTTCCGAGTAGTCCACGTCTGCCAGGGCCACGTCCGTCCTGATGTCGTCCCCTGGTCCTAGCAGGTGGTTTCCCCGCCGCACACTGGCTCCCGTGGTACGAGCTGTCCCCCTTTTCTCCCAGGCAGACGGCATAAGAGGTCCGCTGGGTCACTCGGTCGGGGTCGGAGAGCCTGGGGTTGAGCCACTTTGTCCTCGTGCTTCTCGGGTCCCCCTTTTGGCGCCAGTGACCTGTGTGGAGAAATCTGATACAACTCCCTCAAGCCTACGCTCAGCTGTTTTGACCCACTTGGAGCCTGTTGGTGGGGTGTCTTGAAACAACAGCCGTCTGTGAACAGGTTTTCTAAATTAATTGTAGACCTCCTGTCTGCCAGTGCAGCTTCAGAATCTTAATACTTGGATTGTGCCAACTAAATAAGAACCTCAACATCTTTAGGTAAACTAAATAACATATTTCAATAGCTCTGAATTTCTGACAAGCATCTGTGTTTATTTTTAAATGAAATCCTATTTAAAATCCAAATATAATATGAACTGCTAATGTTTCTGGCAAAGAAACACACTAATGTTATGGATTCAAAAACAACCAAAATCACGATGCTAACAAAGTGAATGATTCCCTGGTGATTCTGCTTCTACCTGTCAGTGCTTAGATATTATCACGCTGAAAAAATGAATACAGAATTCCAACAAACTGTCATCAAATGTCTTTCTATTATAAATTTAGATGAAATGTATATCCCCATAATGACCTAAACAATAAAGTATATGGCTTTTACTTCTTTACCAGGCTAGTTACAGGATGTTGTCTAAATTAAATTCTGTCTCAATACACTACTATGTTTTAGCTTTAACTGTAATATGTTCTTTCTACATTTCAAACCTCAGTTACTCTAATGTCTGTTAAAATATTACAAAATTGTTTCATTATCACAGGTCAACTTCTTCGGTTTCACAGTAGCCCCTTGGCCACTACTTCTTTGTTACCTGTTATAATTCAAATCAATATTTAGAAACATCTCAACATTCATCAAACAGTATCTTATCCCCAGATATGGAGCAGGTTAATTACATTCAATGCTCAATCCTTAAAAGAAAAATGTAAATTGTGAATTTTACAGCCATGTTGACATTTATACATTATACTCACTCCCCCTTTTACACATGAAATCATGTGTAACAAAAGCCTGTAATGGGAGGGGAACAAAAACTGTCAGGTAATTGGTTAGGGACATAACGAACATTATTATCATTATTTCCACAGTGAACACTTCAGTGAAAAGAAGTGTTCCTCTCTGTCCTTCAGGCCTAAAAGAAACAGAATCTTCATATATATACACACATATATATATATATATATATATATATATATTAAAATATATGCATACACATTACAAAAACATCTAGATAGTTATACATGAGAAAATAATGTAACTGCTTTCTCTGTTTTGCTATGGCCATCTGCCTTGAATCCGTAGACTCAGTAATTTACAGCCTCCGACCGTCTCCTCTCTCACACACACACACACACACACACACACACACACACACACACACACACACACACACACACACCATTTGGTCTAACAGCTCCGGGGGGTTTTATGATTTCTCTCACACTTGTCCTGGCTTGTCTTCAGACATGTCCAGACTGTTCACAAAACTTTTCATGGAACTCTTTACAGCAAGGAGCGGTTAGAGAGATTGACATTACTTTTTTAAAATATATGGTTGCTATATTTCATGTTATTTGCAAGTATGTGTAAGTTACAGCCAATACTGTATACAGGATTAGGGGGCACAGGAAGTGGTTAGGTGGCGGGACATTGATCCTATGCATACTAATGTGATTCATTTTTAAAATATTATTTTATTTTGTAAACCGGTAGGGGCAGCATTTTTATTTTTCTCATTTTAAAATTATTTTTATATTTTATTTTGAAAACCGGAAGTGGGGGCGACCGGTAGGGGCAGCATTTTATTTTTAAATTATTTTTTAAATTTTATTGTTGAAAACCGGAAGTGTGGGCGGGACATTCGCCGGAAGGGGGCGGGGCTTATACCGGAAGTGGTGGTCGGGCGTAGCCGGAAGTGGGCGGGGCTTAATACGTAGGGAGATGTGTGACCTGTCACACCACCTGTCACTTTCTATGCATACTAATGAGATTGAAGTGGTATGTGTATAACTACTGGCTCGAACCGAGCCGGTGTTGTGCTGTAGGTTGAAGGCTTGCCGTAGATTGAAGCCCTGTTCGCGGGGACGCGCAAACGTGACGTCATCGCCTGTATTGAGCGTTCGTCTAGTTTAATAAGCTTTTCTCTCTCTTTTGAATGATATATTTCCCATCAGATTAAACAGCAAACGGCTGAATAAATAATGTGCATACAATTGCGAGGAGGCTCGTTTTAAGGACACGTTTTTCAGATAGTCACAATCTTCGTATTGGAACAAACTTCCGTTTTTGAGTGTATAGTCCCACTCTGTTATATTCCTCCTTCCTACAGAACAGACAATGACAGGATAAGATGTGATTTGTCAGTATAGTCCTATTTCTTAAAACCTTCTCTGTTGTTAAAGTGTCTGATAACCACGAATAGTAAGCAATTATATGACAGTAATGATATCACATGATCATGTCAGACACTGTTATTTTCAATCAAGCCTAAAAGATCATGTGTTCAAACTGGCTTCACTCGCTTGAATTGCTCCTTTGAATATCATTTTTATATATTCCTACTCAACATGTTTGTATTGTAATGCCACTCCTATTTTTTTTATTGTATTTTAAGGTGACATTGAATGCTTTGAAAGGTACCCTAAAATAAAGTGTATTATTGATCATGAACTGCATCGTCCAATCAGTGAGCGATACACAGTAAGGGGGCGGGGTGAGTGTCTGAGGATTTCATCGAAGGATGGTCTGGTGGTTCCTCGGTTATAGCTCCTCCATGATCGCTCCTCGCTCCTCGCTCCTCGCTCCTCGCTCCTCGCTCCTCGCTCCTCGCTCCTCGCTCCTCGCTCCTCTGGCAGAAATAAGGCCATGGGACGCTACTCAAGATGGCGCAGACAAATCAACTTCCGGTGAGACCAAGACCGAGGAGCGAGGAAATTAAAAATAAGAGAAGTGAGAAAGGCCCTTTGACTGCTATTCTGAAATGTCTCAGGCTAACTTCCTGTCACATGGGAACTAAAAAGAACTGCTTCATGCAGTACCGGAAGTCACCAGAGGGAGTCACTCTAACACACAAAATAATTAGCCAGAACAGTGTACTTTGAGGGTTTTTGACTCTGCAGACCGTTTACATGCATAAAAACCTTCATAACACAAGGGGACGTGTAATAACTGGAAAAGCATGACATGGGCCCTTTATGATCACTTTTAATAAAAGTCACTGTTATGGTTATGGGTTTATTTTCCACTTCTTTCTTAAATGTTTTCCTCCTTGTGTCTGGTCCTACTTCTTGTGTTAGCCTTCCTGTCTTTAGTTTCCCTCCTGTGTCTGATTGTCTCATTGTGTTAACCTGTTGCACCCCCCACCCCACCCAGCTCTGTCTGATTACCCTTCCGTGTATTTAGTCCTGTCTTGTCTTGAGCGTTTTGTCCTCCAAAGCCTGAAAGACGTCTGATTCTGATCACAGATAACAGCTGAGGGACGAGTTCACATGTGCTCTGAGCTAACGCTGATAAAGGCTCACAGTTATCATCAGAACAGCTGTTACAGTTGACTGACATGGAAAAGACGATAAATGCAAGAACTGTTTGACGCCCACAAACTCTCCTCTCTCTGTGATCCATGATGAACAGATTTTTGGAGAGACAACAGATCAGGAAAGGACAAAGTTGATAAGAATGAAGAACGTTTGTTGTGCCACCAGTAACACAGGTTCTATAACTAGTTGGTAATCTGTGTTCAGTCGGATGTGAACCGTATCAGGCGATGCAGGTTCAGAGACTGATATTCTACGAGAAAAAGTTCCAAGAATTGGAAAAAAATGTCAAAAATGATTAAATATGAGAACAATTCTGACATGTTGGGACACAATCTGTAATGTTTGAAAAAACAACATTTTGAAGAAACGTCAGGATTGAAAAAAAAATGGTGTGACTTTTATTTTGAAAAGTTTCTCTGTTGTTTCTAAAGACAGGATGAACTCAGACTCCATCTTGTTGTTCTGACTGGTGAGCAGACTCTAACATGGCGCCTGAAGCTCTTTCACCTCCCAGCACTGCTTCATCTGCAAGTAATATATTATATAACAGTTAACATCGGGTGTGTTTGATGTGTTATGATTGTGTTTAGTTTTGGTTTTGTTGTGTGCTTTTGTGTGTTTGTTCCTGTCTCACCCCTCCCTTCTCTGTGTTCCTCTGCAGGGCTGGTGTGTGACAGGGAGTTGGCTGGCTCCTCCCAGGAGCAGACGAGGCACACCTGTTTCCACTCACCTCTTCACCTGTAGATATAAAAGCCCGGTCCTCATGCCACTTCCCTGCCAGATAATTCCTCTGTGTTTCGACCCTCCGGTGTGTCTCGCTGCCTCCTGTCCCTGACGACTCAGTGCCAGCCAACTTCCTGACTCCACTGCCGTCTTTTTCTGTTCTTCTGCTTGAATAAAGCTTTTTGTTTTTTACCATCTCTCTCCAGTCTTTTGCTTTGGGGTCCAACATTCTATAGGCCTTAATGATGTCTTTGATTCTAATTTAAGTTTACATTCATTTAGCAGCACATTTTATAAATGGTTAAACACAGATAGTGCTAATAATGTTAAAGATATAACACGTTTTAAACTCTTATTAAAGCAAATTCAAAGGGTTAAATGTTCGTTATGCAGAATATAAAAGATGGTTAGTAAAAGTTCCAGAGGTGCAGCGAATAAACTAAACTTTAAATGTCAGTTCAGAATAACGTGATGTTTCTAACGAGACAGAGTTTTTTGAGACATCTGAAATACAAAAACATTTCAAAAAACAGAAATAAATAAAAAGTCAGAAATTGGAGAAAAGTTCAGAAATTTGACAGAAAATCTGATATTTAAGAAAGTCAAAACATTTAGTAAATGATATTATCTTATACATTATTTTAAATATCTTCCAGAAGCTCAGTTTACACCACATGCACATACTTCCAGTTGGTGACGTTGTATTGAGAGTGAAAGAACAGAAGGAACCCTTAGTGGCCCCACAGAGAGGAAATGCCTCTCATCTGATCAGTGTTAGGAGGGCGTCGGGGCCAGGGTAGGAAACGGTGCCTTGCTCAGGGGCACCTCGGTCTATCGGGGACTTGAACTGGTGACTCTGCGGGTCCCTACGGTCTATAGGTACAGATCTCTTCTATCATATCATCATTGAAGGGTGCATGCACACGCTGCGACCGGCAGGGAAAAGTTTGGTGTCCTCCGTTTTGTTTGTTTTGTGTTTGTTTTAAAGGTTTTTAATGCGCCACCGACCTATTCGATAAAGCGTCTGTATGATTGAATGCTCCCTGCGCCGCTAGTCAAAATGGACATTCTTTATTCTGTGATTCTGTGGATCGTATTCCTTCAATGTTTGGCATGTGATGTCAATGGGGCTGTCATCCGGGAGAGGACACAGTACACCAGAGATGTGCTGCTACAACTGAACATGGCAAGTCTGGCTCGTGTGATAGATACCACGTTACAGTTACCGGACATTATTCGGAGGAATCCAAATGAAACCTGTGGTGCAACGGGGCACCAGAGGAGGAAGCGGGGTAAACGCGGCGGCGTAAGATTACGCATGAGAAGGCAGCGGCTCCCTCGGATTCCTCTGCCCTCAATGATCCTGGGGAACGTTCAATCGCTGAGGAACAAGGTTGACGAGCTTCAGGGTAGTGTTCGGTTTCAGAAGAATTTCAGGGACTGCTGTGTTTTGGCCTTAATAATAATAATAATAATAGCTTCGATTTCTATAGCGCCTTTCAGGGGACCCAAGGTCGCTTCACAAGTAATAGTGCAAAGACAAACATAACAAAACAAAAGACAGACAAACAGAACAACAGATCGATTTAGGGGCCGAAAGCCTTGGCAAACAGATGGGACTTGAGGGCCCTTTTGAAGGCTTCAAGTGTGGGGATGTTGCGTATCTCCGCAGGGAGAGCGTTCCAGAGGGTGGGGGCTGCCACACTGAAGGCTCTGTCCCCGTAGGTTCGCAGTTTGGTGCGGGGGGTGGTAAGCAGGCCAGAGTCTGAGGACCGCAGGTTCCGGGGTGGGGCATGTGGGTGAAGGATGTCCGATAGGTACTGGGGGGCAAGGGCATGGAGGGATTTGTAGGTAAGGAGGAGGATTTTGTAGGATATGCGGGACTTGACCGGTGTCAGTACCAGATATGTTCGGCCTACCAGATATGTTCGGGTGTATTTCCGTCGCATCCGTCATCCGTCATATCCGTCATATACTCACCTCCCTCTGCTCCCAGCGCTATGCTGCCACACACCGGCCGTCTGCGGAACTGCAGCCGGAGGAACTCGGTACAGCTTGTTATGTGTGAACGATCTAGATCCCTCCGCTTCCCCATAATTACCGCGAACATTTTAACTTTCATGACAGAAATGGAGAGCTTTTATGCTGAGATAAAGCAGTACGTGCTCAATGGTGGTTACCACAATCTCACCATCGCCGCTGATCGCAGCATGATAAAAGGAAGGCGTTCATTCGGAGGGCATCCAAACAATACCTGATCAAAGGTAAGTAACAGAATAAGACCATGGTTAAGTCACGAACATACGTTTTTATTATGAGGTATAAACCCCCTGTACATGTGACATCATCACATCCCTTTACTTATAGGGATCAATAAAGTATATAGTATATATCTATCTATCTATTTATCTAATGGTGTTTTTTGGTGCAAAAGTGATCATACCTCTAATGGTTTATCATATTGCAATTCCAACATTTTTCAGTAAATCGCAAGGACTCCACAGCTTGTTTCTCCTTTTTCTTTTTATACACACTTTACATTACTGTAGTTGTTACGTCTAAACCACATTTGCCACTGGATTTCTTGAACAGCTTTTAGTCATAATGTCATCTCTACACATGTCTAAATGATTGTTTTGTTGTTCCTGTCGTGCCAGCTGGAGATTTGTACTACACATACAAGGACAATGAGAGGATGGTTGTGTGCACCAAGGACCAAATTATCAATGTCCTGAAGGAGTGCCATGATAACCTGGGTTCCGGAGGTCATGCAGGGAGAAGGCGCACCACCGAGAAGGTTTTGGCAACGTACCACTGGTCCACTATGCGGGAGGACGTGAAGAAATGGGTGGGAGTTTTTGACTGACTGATTATTGATCTACAGAAATGTGTTGTATGTGTACATTGAAACAGAGTGAGACAGTTTGAGCTCCATCAGAGCAGAGAAAACATATTTCAGAACTTTAACAGTTTAATTCTGTCTCCTCTGAAAGTTTTCTCTGTTCTATCATTTTTATACCTAAAGTTTTTTGTTTTGCTGATTGAAAATGTATGATATTTGCTAAGGTTGATGAGTGTCCCCGCTGCCAGCAACACGAGGTCATTAAAACGGTTTGCACCCGTACTGCATCCCATTCATGTTCCCGAGGCATGGACTGTCCTTGGTGTGGATCTCATTGGCCCACTTCCCTCCACTGCTAAGGGCAAAAGGTACTATCATGATGGGCTGAAGCATGTGACCTCCTTTAAAGGTTCTAAACGTGAAGAATCTGGTTTAAAAAGAAAGGAAATCATTTACAGTGATTCTGTATGTATTTACAACATTCTGCATTTTATATTGCAGATACATTCTAACAGCGACTGATCTGTTCACGAAGTGGGTGGTAGCAAAAATGCTCTACCACAAAACAGCTGTTGAGGTCTCAAAAAAGATTGTGAATATTCTTCGAGATTTCGGTCTTGTCGAGAAGATCATTACCGACCAAGGACGGGAATTTGTCAATGAGGTACAATAATCTATCTAATACAGTGTATGTGTTATGTGTAACAATGTAATACGATTTTTCAGGTAATTTGGTAATTGGTGTACACTAAACCATCTGCAGGTCAACCGTGGTGTTTTTGATGCACTGGGTGTAAAACACTGCATCACTTCAGCGTACCATCCCCAGTGCAATGGCCAAGATGAGCGTACAAACCAAAACATAAAAAAAGCACTTGCAAAGTACTGTGGAGAGGACCAGAATGACTGGGATTTACATCTGAGGGGCATTGTGGCGAGCATTAACACCTCAAAGCAGGTACAATGTTGTAACAAATGCAGATGGAAACAATACTCAACAGAGATACTAAAAGGAATTTTTATGCTTTCAGAGGTCAACCAAGTGCACGCCCTATTTTGCCCAGTTTGGGAGGCACCCTCGCGTCCCGGGTGTTATAAATGCTACAGTCAATGACAGGGATGATACCTCTGTTTTGGTGCCTGCTGATGAGGCAGAACAGCAGCTTGAGGCAAAGGCTGCAACCATTGCAGATTTGCACTCGAAGGTGAGAATAAAATGGCAATATTTAAAACATAATAACTCCTAAAAAATGCAAGCGTATGTTAAGGACTGTAAATGATAACTGTTACATATCTTTCTCAGATTTACCAGAACATCCAAATAGCACAACAGAGACAGAAAATCTCTTTTGAAAAACGCAAGGGAAAGAATGTGAAATCTTTCCTGATTAACGTTGGAGATGAGGTCCTAAGAGCGAATAAGAGGAAGGAGGGCCGAAAAGGTGGAAAACTGGAGTGCAACTGGTTTGGCCCTTATGTGGTTTCCTCAATCACCAACAAGGGTGTGGCAACCCTGTTGAGCTCAACAGGAGCTCAGCTGAGACAGAGTGTGAATGTGTCTCAGCTGAAGCCCTTTATCAGGCCTATGTTGAGAGGTATTTTGATTATCAATACAAGGACACATTTTAGGTATACTTCATGTGTGGTACTTCAATAATACTGTTTATTTTTTGTCTATCTAATAACAGCTGAACCGAAGTTGGATTCGGAGGGGTCTGTTGCTGACCACCAGTATGCCCTCTCTGGTGCGAAATACGCAAAGGATCTACATCCGATTCAAGACAAGCTGGTAGATATATGTTTACTTCATGCACAGTGATGGAGGTGCATTGTTTTGATTTGAATTTTTCTATGTTTTCTATTGGCTTGAAGTATGTTTTGCAATCTGTTATTTGCAGCTCAGCTATGTGCTAGACCACAATAGGCCTGGAGCAGAGGTCATTGTGAAGGAGGGTGATGTGTGCCTGACCAGAGAGGACTTTTGGAGCCTGGGTCTTCCTCAGTGCATGGAGTCAAATGTAGGTATACTTGAGCTTTCCTCCCAACTTCATCTTGTCTCAAATAAATGGCACAGGTAACTTACTGTTGTTACTGTTTCAGATTGGAAACACGTGCCTGAAGATGGTACAAGAAGCCACCCAAAGACATGTACGGTTTTCAACAGACATCATTGGCCTGCTTTTTTCTTTTGAATAACACATATTTTCTAAATAGCTGTTTAGTGGTGAAACTCCAATCTCGTGAAGTGTGGTTGTCTCTTGTTGTTGAACATACTTCTATGAAGATTTCATTTTTTTTGAAAAACTATCAATATAGGGCAAAGATATATACATCGTGGATATGTATGTGGTTCCTACCTGGAAGTCCAAAACAGCTGACGTGTTGGCCAGTTTTCCAGTAAGTTCCTGTTGCTTGAGACCTATGTTTCTTGAAATTGATATACAGCAACTTAAAATCCCTTGTTTAAAATACTAGGCTGACCAATTGGCCACCAAGGACATGGTTTTCATCCCTGCCTGGAGTCGGCAGCAAGGAAAGGCAGATCACTATTTGCTTTGCGTGAGTCTGTTCCAAATGATCTCACCAGCATGTACAAAATGAACATAAGTTGTGCTGTGTGGTTTTCTTCTGGTGTTTGATTATGTCTAATTTCAGCTATTTTGTCAATGGTTGACAGGTGATCAAGCCAGCAAAGAGAGAGTTATATTTGCTCGACCCTCTTAAGCCAGATGGCTTTGGGGACAATTCCTACAAGGACATATTTAGGTTTTTGTAACATGATTACCCCCACCGTTCTGTGGCTTGTATGGGAGTTCTAAATAGTTTATAGTATTCTAATACTGCAGTAACCATCTTGTAGACCAGGGGTCTGAATCTGATCAAATTCATTTATAATATATCTCCATTTCCACAAAGTCTGGAGTGTCCTTAGTGGAAACAAAAGAAAAAGAGTCTGCAACAGGATGCTATGAATTATAATGTTCATTTTGTTATAAGCCTTGTTCAAAGGTTGTTTTCAAGTTCAGCTTTGTTCAGAGGCTGGTAAACGTATTTTTGTTTGTTTTATTTTAGCCCCGTTCAGTGGCTTTCATAACTTTCCTCTTTTAAGGCATGCAATAGTTCAATGTAAGGAAATCCAAAAACATGAATTATATTGTGTATAGCGTTCCTTCACCAAATCAATTCCCATGTCTTATCATTTCTTTTGACAGTGACCTAGCGCACCGCATTGCTCCAGGTCAGTGGACAGTAAAGTTCGGCAGAGACGTCAAGGTACATTTCTCCACCATCTCATACACCTGCTTTCACATGTCTTTATTTTCCATTTGACCATGAACATCACTGTTATATTCCAAATTCTTACAGGGTTTGCCTCACCAAACCACGGGCAATGACTGTGGTGTCTTCATACTGATGGTAAATTCCTCCCTTGACACTTTTTTTTAAAGGGTTTTGTTAGTTTTTGAAACTCATAACTTAACAGATCTTTATCCTTTCACAGTATGCACTCAACTTCAGCACAGATGCTCCACTTTGGTTTACCGAGGTCAGTATTTATCCTCTGAGTTAGTATTTCAGGGGGAAGAGGGGGCTAACATTGAGTAGACAAATGATGAGGTTCCATTCATTTTCAACTTTATTATTGTTACATTTTCTTTTAGCGGGACATAGCACAGATCCGGAAATGGTGGTGCATTATGCTCATGGAACGGTACCAGATTGAAGGGTAAATCATACATTTTAAATGTTACTTTATAGACAACAGTTTCTTTGACACTGATTTACATTTTCATCCTGATATTATGTGATTTTTATAGCCACGGACAGAGGTTTTCTTACTGGACCAATGAGGCCGAAGAGCTGCTCAAAGGGGCACTGGAGCCAGTGTACAGGGTCTCAAAGAAGCAAAAGACAGAACATGAGGTCAATAGGCACACTCCTGTTTGTGATAAAGAAATGTAACAATCCAGATTATTTAACACATGCATACATATCAATATTGATAATTGTATACACATGTAATTAAACAATCACATGACCCACACCTTATATTTTCCTTCAAAGGTCCAGTTTCAAAAGTCCGACATGTGCTTCATATTGGAGGTAATATCTTTTCAGTGAAGCAGTAACTGTTTTTTGTTTAAAAAACGACCTATGATCACGGCAGAATTTCCAACTATTATGTCTCACTGCTTTTTTTAACTTTATTGATAGCTGTTTTTTACCTCAAGGAGAAGAATAACAAAACATAAGAAAAATGTGTGTGATATATTCAACATTAATATTAAAAATGTGTATTTTTGCTACCTGAAGCCCAAAGAATCTTGGTATTTCGATTGTGCTGGCAACAGTCTAGTCAATGTGTTGTTAAATATGTTTGATCTAGTCTGACCAATACTTCACAGCTGCCAAACTGTCTTCTCTCGGACCTTCTGATGGAAGTGGTTCTCCAGGAAGGTGACAAAGCGTACTCATCACTCACTCTATAGTGTACCACCTTCAGAGACACAATGTCCACTGTGTCTTTCAGAAGAGGGGCCCACTTTCGCTGGCTTGAGAGTAAGTGATTCAGTGAAGGTGCAGCAGTATACGACAGCTGTGGTGTCTATGCATATTTTTAATGGCTCTATTGAAATGCTTGTTTTACACAGGTGTTGCTACATGGAGTTTGTTCTCTGCTTCATACAAGCAGGATTTCAACGTCATGTACACCATTGACACCTGCCGTGGATGCTTGGAGCCTTACAAAAACTGCAAACCAGGTAGACTTCTTATTCTGGATAATAATGTTTATGTGTCATTACATATTTAGTGTGTTGTGGTCCTAGTGTGATTCAATTACAATATTTTCTTTTTCTATTCATAGGATATGTTGGGAAAGGTAAAAGAGGAGAATTGCAGGGCATCTACTCTGATGACCAACATCCAGGCTATTGCAGTCCCTTCTGCAACCAGATATCATAGGTAAAGATTAACTCACACAAACAAATGTCAGAATAGACTAAATTGTCACTGCAATTAATGAAGATCATCCTTTGATATCTTACCTTCAAGTTTGGTTTTCCCGGACGCTGCCCGTCATGGACTTCGGGTCGTGGACTTCGGGTCGTGGCTGAACCTGTCTCTGCAGTCCTGCCTTGGGTCATGCTGCTTCCCTGATGGCTTCCTCATATATTCTGAACAATCTGTGCTGTTTTCCTATCCACATGTAAAAGGAACTAGAAGGATTTCTTGATACTAAGGGCTGTAGAGAAAAGTTTGGAGCTTTTTCCATTAACGTTGAAGTTCAAATTCTCAATAAACACTTGAATGCTGTGCTGTCTTTCTATTTACTTGAATGTGTGAATTCATTCAGTTGGGTAGGTAAGCTTGGGATGGATATATTAAATATATACATACAAAAAATTAGAGACTCTTTCCAATGAAAGTAGCTAGCCGCAATAGCTCCAAGATTGCTATATCTAGTTTGTAGGTCGCCAAGTTGGCATCATTGACAGTTCGTCTCTTAAAGCCTCTAAAGCTCTGCAACAAAAAAGGATCATTATGAATGTAAATACTATACATGGTAATGCAGCAGGGCAGAGTGCGATGAGGCAGGCAGGCAGAACCAGATTTATTTCTAAATATTTGTCGATCAATATTAGGCTACACTAATATAAGGCTACTAGTATTATGATATTACTGCAATAATATTCCAGTGGTGGCTGCTTAAGGTTGTTTCTGGCTCGTTTGATCCAAACATTGTCCAAAGCTCAAAATGTATTGTAATAGATGTAAGAATTCTCAAAATGTACAATATGTTTTGATCCAAC